TATAACTAATATATATATATATATATATATATATATAAAACTAATATATATATATATATAATATAACTAATATATATATATATATATATATATATATAAAACTAATATATATATATATATAATATAACTAATATATATATATATATATATATATATAACTAATATATATAACTATATAATATATATAGATATATAATATATATATAGAACTAATATATATATATATATAATATATAACAGCTTTACACTTACAGCTTTTCCTCTGGCTTTGCTCACTTCTCGGTGGCCTTCCATATCACTTTTGTTTCCCACTAAAACCTTGGCGACATTCGGCGAAGCATTCTGTAAGAGAGAAAGGATGGTGTTTTCGTATAGCATTCATAATACCGCGCGTGCCCAAGCGTGTGAGTGAGTGCGTGCGTGCGTGCGTGCGCGTACGCGCGTGACTGTGTCTGAGCAGTATAGAAGACGTGTGTATAGCGTCATTGCACGTCACTGCGACAGAATCGCACGAATCATGCGTTATATTCTCCAATGCCCATGCAAACAGATGTCGCATTAGAAAATGAAGCCTACGCACACACGCACTGACTCCCGCGCGCACGCACGCTCGTACTTACGCACGCATGCTCGCATACAAAGCCGTATATTTGCGCGACGTAAACACATTCTACTGCTACAGCCAGCCCCTGAGACTATTCCAGGGGAAAATATGATTAAAATTTCAATAGGATTAAATAAGCGTTAATATAACGAACCGACCACCGCGAAAGCACGGGAGATCTACACAGGGGGTAACAGACTTCATAATAAATATCATTTCATAATAAACTATAGACTGCTCCGTGAGTATTACCCTGAAATGAGCTGACACACGAAACAATGCGTATAGACATAAACGATGGCGGGAAACCTGCAAACTAACACTAACCAGCTAGAGTTAGCCCCTCGCCGAATTCAACATTTTCCGACAAAGTTCTCCGCGCATATAGACGTGATATATAGTGATGAGCACAGACACTGTTCCCCCGCGGTGCTGCGATGCGCACTGTATTCGCAATCAGCTGCACAGCCTCCGCATCTTCTTCAGCTTCCCTCAAAAAATTCCGAAACAGCTACTCAATGCGGCGTGAAATGTCGCCCACGTCCTCCCTGACACGTCTATATATATACATGTCAAATACGTACGTCGTACGCATCTCATGCATAAACAAACGAGCGAGGGACCGTCTATACACGGCTATAGACGACCACCGCTCGCGATAGCTCCCGTGCTGAGCCTGAATCGATGATGCCCGGCTATCTATCTACTAGACAGAATGGACGAGAAGCGTATACATGGGCGCAACGTCGTCTGCCAGACGCCTGACGTATAATATCACACGCACGTAATATCTACCATGGGATGCCCGCATATGGCGCGGGACGGGCAGAATAGTATTTGTATAGAAAAAAAGAGTATTTACATTTACAGAGATTACCGAGATTATATATATTCTATATATATCCTGTAGATATAAAGAAATCGGTGTGCATCTATAATCAATGCATTGCGTAAGATTGGATAAAGCAAAACACGATTGCTTGCAGAACGAGCGCCGTCAACGTAGCGCGCACATGCAGCAGAATTACGACAATGAGACATCTTGAATTTTGCATAATTTTACAATTATTATAATAATGGAAAACCTATAAATTGATAATAATCGATAAATGGTAAAATTGATGGGATATGGTTGATTGTAAAATTCACTCCTAGATATAAATAGATATAGATATAGATATATAGATATAGATATGGATATATCTACAGAGGCTGAAAAACCGAGCCCCTGAAATCTACATTAGCACCGGTTTTGCCAAGAGTCAGACTTAGCATAGTTAAGCTTAGGAAAGCTTAGCAAAAATTAACCAAGTTCAGTCAAGCTTAGCAAAAATTAAACAAGCGTAGTCAAGCTTAGCAAAGATTAGTCAAGGTTGGCCAAGTTCAACAATGCTTAGAAAATGCTAGCCTAGCTTAGCTATTCTTATATTCCTAATCAAGCTTAGCCAGATGGGTGGACGGATAGATGGATGGATGGATGGATAGATGAATGGATGGATGGATGGATGGAGGGATGGCTGGATGGATGGAGGGATGGATGGATGGATGGATGATGGATGGATTGGATGGATGGATGGAATGAGTGATGGATGGATGGATGGATGGAATGGATGGATGGATGGATGGATGGAATGATGGAATGGATGGATGGATGGAATGATGGATGGATGATGGATGGATTGATGGATGGATGGATAGATGGATGGATGGATGGATGGATGGATGCTGAATGATGGATGGATGGATGAATGGATAGACAGATAGATAGAGCGAGGGATATATGGAGAAAGAGAAAAAGTCAGCGCGAGAGAAACATGCGAGATAGAAAGAAAAACATGGTGATAGAGAATATGAAAGAAAGAGAGAGAGAGAGAGAAAGAGAGAGAGAGAAAGAAAGAGAGAAAGAGAGAAAGAGATAGAGAGAGAGACAAAGAGAGAGACACACACACAGAGCAATACTTCAGGTCGTCAAACCTGCCTGTTGGAAAAACCGTTTGTTCGCCTTGATCTGTTGAGTAGCACTCTACATTCGTCGCACTCTACACACGCGTGAGTGAGTGAGCGCCCGAGGCCTGCATACCGTAATCACGAAACGCAAGGAAACCTGCGCATTCTAGGGGCGATGCCGATTGCGTTGTTCAGAGAATAATGACGCAAAAACTCGGAATTAGCCCTGCGCCGAAATCCGAGCCGGAACGGAATCTTGAGAATTTCTTTATTCATCTTTGTTATTTCATTATTTAGTTATTTGTGTGGTGTGTGTGCGTGCGTGCGCGCGTGTGTGTACGTGTATGCGAGCGTACGTTTTACGGTGCACCTAGTATTTCGTTGCAGGAAAATAATCGCCTAATTTAGCTAAATTACACCGCAGAAAACCCCTGCCGATGGTTAGTAGTCGTAACGGAGCTGTAAGTGAATTTTTCAGCGAATGCACTTTACTGCAATCATGACAAGCGATCATACGAACTAAGACGAACGAAGACACGCCGTACGATTCTGGAAAATGTTTAGACTGCCACTGCAGCCTACTTATTCTGCGAACGACTTGGTCCATTATAATTTGCCGAAGAATATACTTTATCTTGTGTATGAGCACATGGTGGAAAACACGCACCTTAATAAGTCATAGCCACCGACTGAAGAAGCCACGAAACAATAACCCGAACAACATCTATAGAAACATTTTTATAACATCGTCGAAACCCTTACTAAGATAAAGGAATGGACACAAAATAAAATAAAATAAAATTTTAATTCAATAAAATAAGCCAAAACGGTGAAAAGGAAAAAAAGATATGGACTCATGACATGCTAGCGAAAGAACGGACAACCGCAGCAGCAGCAGCAGCAGCAGCACCACCACCACCACCACCACCACCACCAACAACAACAACAACAACAACAACAACAACAACAACAACAGCAGCAGCAGCAATGGCGTGTATAGAACGCAATAGTGCATGCGTAATCTCGCTGAATATGCCACGGGGGTTAATAACGATAAAACTCGTTAGACAGCTAACGCGCTATAATTTCACAACGAACGCTAATGTGCCTTCATTACTCTCCACTTAGTTGACAAACGATAGAACGTAACGATCTCTTATAAAACGTAGTAAAACGCGATGTAGAACCAGAGAGCTAAAGCCCCATACCGATACTCACACACAGTAGCACACACACACGCACGCACGCACGCGCGCACGCACGCACGCACGCACGCACGCACGCACGCACGCACGCACACACACACACGCACGCACGCACACAGAGTCACCCATGCACGTATACGCGCACACGACAGCACGTATAGTCCGTAATCGAGTTTCCTATGATCAACAATGATTAAATGTGACGGCCACACACACACACACACACACACGTACCCACACCCACACACACACACACACACACACACACACGCACGCACACAATGAGCGCATGCGCTGTACGCCTCCCTCGCGACAGTTCAGCATGTGCCGACCGTCGTTCTCGTCACTCCACTTCAAAGAAGCCAAGTTCCTTTTACACAGACTAATAACAAAACCCAACCTAATTACGGGCTGCATGCCAGGGAACAGCTGGGCTACAGCTAGGATGTACGGATGCAAGGTTCTGCTTTGTCTTCTATATATATGCGCTTCAATGTTTGAGACTTTGATGCTATTCAATGGAAGCACGAGGGGGCAATGTATAGTCAAGCTATACCAAGATGGAAATGACGTAATTACACAAGGATTGCTACTGTACTGATATTATATTTTATAATGAAAAAGATAATTGATATTGAGTAAAACCTTTTAATAGAAACGACGTCAGAAACACCATTTATCTACCGATCGTGTACCAAAACACCAACAACAAACAAACAAACAGTGGTGACAGTTCTCTTGTTTTGATATATTGATGAGTCATCTTCTGTTAGCGCGTAGAATAATGTTTTGCAGTGTAAGATAAAAGCATGTAGTTTTTTCATCAGTTATTATTTATATGTGATTAACTATCATAATAATTATGCATAAATTTCCGTCATATACAATAAATGTATATATATGAATTTGAGTTTCGTGATCGATTCACATCCAATCAGCAGCCTTGTGACAGCAAATTATCAAGTTCCTGTTTTTGTCGGTTTTCTCATAGCTGTGATGCGTTTCTGTCAACGCTATTCTCGTAACATCAACATTAGTCGTAAGTGCTATCGTAGCATTAACATTTGCATTAACTTTACGATGTTTCTGACAACTATCTCCTATGTGAGTGCATGCGCGTGCGCATGCGTACGTGTGTTTGTATGTGTTTGTGTGCGATCGCCACCACGAAAAAACACCAACTCTCCCTCCCTATCACATTCAACCTTCACACCATGTCCCTGCATGCTGCAGCCCGTGATGTGTCCATCCGTGTTAAACGACTTCACGACCACACTGTCACGTCATCACCATTATACAACCAGCAGAGCTAGTCTATACATGCAACCTCATGTCTACACAAAACCAGTCACTAGTTACACAGTTACTTTATAATATATATATATATATATATA